TGTGGGGTGAGTAGCCGATGAGACCACTGCGAACTGGAGATTCAAGTGGACTCGTGTAAGAGTTACTTTGAATGGTAGATCAAGGTGAATGCAATGACCTGATTTACACAGGGGAACCTTGAAAAAGAATAACCTTGTCAGAATTACCTATAGAGGAAAGAACAACCTTGTCGGAATTACTTTTTTTTTTTTTAAGCGAGGGGAAATCTTCGAAAAGACACCCCCACTCCCCGGGGGAGGAGCGGGGGCAGTGTGGGATTTGTACCCACTAAAACCCCTCGGTGATTCCCGACCCGGCGGCATGGCGCGTCCCGGGATCGTGCGTTATCGTCACCGCGATGTCGGAATTACCTTGTGACGGATCGGTAGGAGGGACGACAGGAAAAGTCCCTGAGGTGGAGGGCGGCCAGGGAAAGCGGTCCTCCACGTCCCGATACGCACACCCACGGACGATTTCTTTAAAGGGGCGCCAGTGCAATGCACGCGTCCGGGGGAATCGCCCTTCCGGCAGCTCTTCCGGGAGCGGTACTCAAGGGGGGACAGAAAATAAGTAGAGTATCCGCGAGTAGCTACGATGAATTTGGCTTTATTGTGGGCCGAAGCTAGCCCTTCGAGAAGAACGTAAATGAGCCCTTCGTGGTACAAAGTTCGGAAAGGGAACTGGGTCACGATCGCTAAGTGCGGTAAAGATATCGCGACACGAGGGCTCGCGATACACGCGAGTGATACAAAATAAAAATCGGAAATGAAAAGAAAACGCGGTACACTGTGGGAGCACGCCCTCTTGGGGGTCGTGGACAACAAAGGGAACGCTGGACCTAAAAGCAAAATACAAGAAAAAGGGAAAATGGTGACCCGAGGTAGCCCGAACTGGGATCAGCGGCCCAGAATCGCGGGGACAGAAAGCGCAAATCTGTACAGCGATATTCCGTGAATACGGTCCCTAAGGTCCTCGTCGCCGGGGCTGGTGGTCCTATCGCCAGGAACCACCCACACGCACACACGCTCACACACACTCGCTTATGGATCTTACAAGAAGGCAAAGATCCTACCTTTGTACGCTGGTGTCCGGGTAGGCGTCGTTCTCTATCTGGGCGCGGCGCCAAGGTAAGTCCACACTCCACCGATCGGACACACACACACGAAACGACACACGAAACGTGAAAGGGAGAAAGAAAGAGAAAAAAAGGAATTATGATACGGTGTAAAAAAAACTAAATAAGGCGCAAAGATACGCGGGCGGTTCGCAGTGCGTCGTGATTCGCGGCTCGCAGGCTTCTCCCTCCGTATCCGCGGCTCGGGTCCTCGGTGCGCGGAGTTCCTCCTCCCCGAGGATTTCGGCGCCAGGGATGGGCCAAGTAGTGTTTCGTCCAGGTCCTGGGGCCCCTTCGGGTGGCAGCTGGGGTGGCTCGTCCCCAGGCCTGGCGTCCCTCGGTGTTGGCTGCCGGTCGCCCCCGCGGAGGTGGACGGGTGGCTCGGCGACCGGTCAGCAGGCGGCTTCCGTTGATGGGCACCATCCCGCGCCT